GACAACATATTTTTACTTAATTTTTAGTTGCGACATGTCGTAACAAATACATATTGGTTTACAGACTTACATCAAATTAGAGTTTTCTCCCCTCTTTATTTAAAAATATGCATATGGTGATATAACTCATGAACCAAATATAATTAAGATCTAGGGTCTTTTGATTTGAGGTCCTTGGTTGGTGACCTTGAAATTAAGCCCAAGGTCATAGATTAAATTGACGTTCTAGATTTTGAGCTTTGTTTTTACCTCATTTGTAGACATGATAAAGCCATGGGACTTTTTGCATTTAGTTGCAAGCCATATGACCTTGAAAAAGGAACCGGAAGTGACCCTGTGTAAACCGGAAGTAGCTATTTCTTTGTACTTTTTGAATGTAAAAGTATATAGAACCATATATTTTTGGAATCAGTGTCAATTAAACAGTTAAATAATACCGGAAGTAACCTTTTTCAAACCGGAAGTAGCAAATTATTTCCGTTATTTAAAAAATATTGTATAGAAACGATATATTTTTGGAATCAGCGTACTATAAGCTATCATTTGACGCTGTTAATGACATTTTAAACCGAATTTTTACTATTTTCATTTCAAAATACTTGTTTTTTTGTGGAAAAACCTTCAATTGTTCTCTGAACAATTGGTTTTTAATTATTATTATTATTATTATTATTATTATTATTATTGTTATTATTACTTTTATCATATTTCAAATATGATAATGTAGACGTGTTATCTTCCTCTCTATCCTACAATTGAAGATGAAGATTTTATCATTAAGATAAGGATGAAATGTTGATTAGATAAATGGTCAAGATGTATATTGAGTCGTGAATTGGTCAAAATTTCACTAATGAAAGGATTTCATTTCTATTAATTACAGTTGAATATTTATGGACATATATATTTACATTTTAGGCTCAAGCTTACGGAGGAACTACAGGTTTTTTATTTTACAGGTCATCAAGGCAAACAACCTAATTTTGACCTCTTTGCTTGTCCTAGTGCCAAAATACTAATAAGATTAGAATACAAGCAACATAATCAGACTATCTCTTGTACAATATACAACCTTTCATCTTTGTTAATAATAATATCTTAAATTCATGTATTTCTAACGATTAAGAACTTGTCTGTCAACATAATGAAGGGAACCTACAATTAACTTATTTGGTGTAACATCTTTTCACTCGAGAGAAACGTTTTGTTTATCTTTTCTAGAAAAGATATTTTTCTTGTAATGTAAAAGAATGAACATTGATAAAACATGTCCTATTTTTTAGTAGAAACACATTTATTTCTCCTTAGATTTTTTTTCAAAACATTAAGAGTTAACACAATCTTTTTAAAACACCCGTGCTCCTAGTTTATAAAAGAGAAGGGTGGTAGGTGGATTAAATTTGCATGATTTAAAACATAATATTATTTAATATCATTGTTGAAGGAGACAGTGTTGTCTAACCAGCAATAACTTTCTAAATGTTTATTCTTGTAATTGCCAAAGAGCTATGGTCCTTAATCTACGTTTTTTAGTACATCTATATTTATATTTGTGTATACATTATATGAAATATTTAAACGTACCTTTACAGACCGATAACTTATTGTTATTGATTTTCAAAAATCCACAGCTACAGTATGTACTAATGGTTTTTTGACACACCAGATAATACGTGATAAAATTACTTAATGAGAAATAGCTTGAGTTTTTCCACTTTTAAAATTGAATCAACTGGGCCACAAGTAAAATCACAAGGTTAGTCTTGTTTACTTCATTTGTTATTGTTCAATTGGTTATTGAATATGCATTCTAAAATGGTCAAGGGCGTTATTTAGTTTAACAAGGACTCAGTCCATTCAGTTCCTTTTGCATAAAGATACATATACGAAAAGTATATGATCCAGTAAACGACGGTCTGTTGATGAGATTAGAATGTAAATTAAAAAAAAACAATGCAAGTTAAGTAGATCTATTTTGATTTTTCAAATAAACACGTTTTTTTTTGTTTTTTTTTTAGTGATAAGTATCGGCCACAACCATTCAGCATCAGTAACAACTGTCACTGTATATTTATGATTGCAAAAACTTGTAGCCTTTAAATTAAAGTGAATGGCGACAGGAAACTTTGTCAAGTATTGTCAAACAACAGTAATTTTGACGACAAAAATAATTAAGATTAGAAGAGCGGTTATTAGGAACGAAATTTATTTCTAAACATGACAAGAACACTGCTGAAACTTAATGGATTGTATTTGAATTATTTCTCAAGAGTAAAATGCAAAGTTTTACCGTTCCTTTATAGAATTACAAATAAAATGCCAATTGAAGAATACGTGACATTTGAATCAGGCTGTTTAGAATTTGTTAAAATTAGATTTTAGTTAATTTCAATTTATAAAGTGCTTTATTCGTAGTATTTTAATAGTTTATAAAGAGTACATAAGTGTGCCCTTTCAAGACAAATGGAAATGTGACGTTATTACGAGAAAACACTATCAACTATGATTGGCCAAAGTGTGTATGGGAACATACAATTGTTTTTCTGTAGTGATTTTAAAATATTTTTTTATCCTTAAATAGAAAATATAAATCAATGTTTCAAGCCGAAACTAGAGAACTGATCATAAACAGCACGTGACATGAACGGGAAAGTGAAGTCCATAAAAACTAACCTAACCCGACGCTCGACTATATCAACCAACAAAATGATTGAAAAACAGCATCTTATAATTGTTGTATTTGCACATTGAATTTCTAATGACTTTTTATTGAATATCAATATACTGTTATTATCTGCCCTCATTCTGTCCAACGATTAAATATTTCAATATGCATGTTCAAGTCCTTTACCTAGACAAAAAAGAATTAGTAAATAAATCGAACGGATATATTGATATATGTATATAAATAAATACATACACAGAATCCTTTTGTGTATGAAAAGATCATTCTGGTATGCGTTTTCTACTTTAATGAATTATTCAGAATTGAAAAGGTCATACATAATAAAATTTCCAAAGATTACCTACCAATTGCGATACATAGCACATACGAAATACTAGTAGTCTTAAATATTGTCAGTAGAATGATAATGGTTGTTCCTATATTCAAAAGTTTGTTGAAATGAATAGGGACCTGAATATAATAGAAACACTTATTTTCCGGAGGGAGTTAGAAAAAAGATGTAGAAGATAACAAAGGAATATTCAAACCAATAAATCGAAGAAAAACTGTAGAGTAAACAATTAACATTCTACAAATCGAAACATAGAAATCTAAACACTTAGCAACACGAACCGCATTTCATGGTTCATACAACATATACAAACCTTCATAAATTTGGGGGGGGGAGCTCGTTAGCCAAGTGGTGTAAATAGTTCTACTACTGTAATCACTAGCCAGTCAACACTGAGGTTGTGAGTTCGAACCCCGCTCGTGCGGGTGCACTCGACTCCAATCTTAATTGACTAGGATTGTCAGTTTTTCTATCGAAGGTCGGTGGTTTTCTCCGGGCACTCCGGCTTCCTCCACCAATAAAAACTGACCGCCACGAAATAGCCCAAATGTGGCGCTAAAAAGTGGCGTTAAAACACCAACAATCAATCAATCATAAATTTGGCAAACAGTAGCTTCGTCTTTGTCCTTCAAATTTTCTAACAATCAATAAATATAAAATGACATAATGCACTAGTTCAATCTGAATATATTGTTGGCTATATATCTATTTATTCATATCGAATTAGATAAGACATTTATATGTTGCATCTGCAAAAATTAGAACTCATTAAACAAATTCAACATGCATACAAATAGACTGATTGGTTTAATATTTCATTGGTCATTGAACATTTGGACATGTTAAGCGTTTTTTTTTTCTCGTATTGACTGCTGCTAGTGCATGTTTTCAAGGTGATAATTTTATTCTTCTAAATGTATGGTTGTTGCTGAAAAAACTTAGATGTTTATCAATTATTAAAAGAACAAATAACAAGTAAAGTGTCAAAAACAAAATTAATTACATATTCATGCTACTATTCCTCGATCAACGTCGATCTAGTTAATTTCTTAAAAGCAATCATTCACGTGTTTTATTTTCTTTCAATATTCTGGAGGGTACGTTGATGTGACTGTTAAATGGTAATAATATATACATCACCTACCCATAAGTCAATGTAGGTAGTTTCTTTGCAATGAGCTCCCAATGGTATTTTGATTTAGTGGCCAATGCTTTGGTACTATCATTATTTAAATGGTACGTTCTGATAATGAGTTTGCCTTTGTGAATATTGTAATTGTAAAATGTTGTTTTTAAAACTAATCGTACATCGTCCTCGCATATTATACGTCAAAAGTTTGTACCGCTCGTTTTACACTTATTTTTAGATTGCATGCTTGCTTTTTCTATTTCATCAAAAACATTTGGTTTGGACCAAAAACATCTGACATATACCTTCAGCAGTAGCCCTGTGTAAAAATAACCTTTTTGGCAGTCATAAACCATTGTAGGACCAAGCCTGTAAACCTATTTCAGATTTACTTTGACCATTCAAAGGTCAGGTTATCTAGTAAATTGCAGTCAAGTTACAACTGCACTCGTCTGTTTGTTCATACATCGCACAAAGGATACTCTGCAGGAAACATTTGTTATGTGTTTGAATTGCTTAAAATGTGTCACTAAATATAGAATTAAGCATTTACTTTATTAAGCCTTGGGGAAAATTTATCGTTTTGTTATCATTTTCGTAAAATGTCTACTTGTATTTTGCTTTTTCTTTTTAATATTTCTGTTCGTTTTTTCCAGTAAGTAAATAAAACACAGTATGATTCATAGAGGTACACATCGAATCGATCATTACAATATAATCGTTTAAATATAAATGACTATTAGTGAGAAATACCGGTTTCCTTAGACTGTTCAAATCTCGGTATTTAAAATCCTTGGCAAACATACAATTTTTCTTTGTGTATTTTTTGTATAAATATTTCATGACCAGCAAAACTTGTCTAAATTTACACAGACGGAGACTCCTAAGCAGGTAAATTGATTTTAACACTTACAAACTGTTTTTATTTTTCCTTGTTAAGGAAAATGAAAATTATCACTTTTCTTTGCGCTGTATAGATTTGCGGTAACTGCTTTCAAGAAGTTCAGATTAAGTTTACTCTAACCCGTCAGTTGGAATTTAAATAGAAAAGCGATATTTAAGGTATCTTTAACAAGGCCTGTTGTGGTGTAGTTTGTCGTTTGTGATGCCTGCATCTACTTAGATTCAGACTAGATTGAACAATTTTGTAAAATCAATTAAGTATCTTCAAACTGTTAATACAGATATCTTGGTCTCTGTGGCGAAATTAATTTATAATATCAAAAATGTATGGCCAAGCAAGAATAACTTAAGGGATGATTTAAGCTTTTCAATTGTGAAGTTTCTTTTTCTATGCAGCAACATTCCAGCAGCGCATATGGAGTATGTATCTCCCAAATGATACGACATTCAAGGGCTTGTATTGCTATCATGATTCCTTGATAGAGGGTTGCTCCTCACAAAGAAGCTATCAAACCTTGATTTCCAAGTGGTGAAGTTGAAATGATCCATTCGTGATTTTACGGACGCCATCACGAGTTGGTTGACAGTTATGAAATATCCGTTTCACAGATGACAGCGGATAAGTTTCTAATGTCGTACATGTTAGTACAAATCCCGTTCCCTTTTCCCGAATGTGACCTTACGAATTAGACTTATTACCGGGTTTGTACTAACATGAGCAACGAGACTGGTGCCACATGTTAGAAGTGGTAATTTTTATTTTAAATACTTGAATGTGATTTGTCAAGTTAAAAAATCATATTTTCATTGATTTTGTAATCCTGGTACCTTATTTAGCTTTAATTCACGGAATGCATATTGCTCGTTCCTTATCATTTTGAGGGCTAAGTGGTGATCTGTTGTCGTTTTCAGGTGAGACGATAGCATTTCTCAAAAGGCGACGTTTTATAATCAAACAGTTATGTGCGATTTAACAGTTGTTATTTTGTTTTAGAAATCGACGGAGTTTGTTTATAGTAATCATAGCTACCGTCATTTTAAATCAAATTCATGAAAATTTGAAAGCAGTTTTGAATTCTTCTCAATATTTATATGTCTTTCAAAATTTGTATTGTAAATATTATGTTATGTTATGTACATGCAGTTATTCATAAACGAACTTTAAAAAAATTCATATACCCTTACATACATTCACAGTGCTCCAAAGTTGTCTTAAAACTTCATCTGAGTACACAAAACATGTAATAGGTTAACCTAAAAAATTGAAAATGAAAAATTATATTTTTCACTATTTCTTGACCTAAAGATTTATGATATGATGTAAACTTTCAATGCAAAGCTGAATTGTTGTGAAACAAATTGCTATAATGAATACTTGTCTTTTATTTTTAAATCTTTTATTTATAGAAACACTGATCATTTTATGTTTCCACGTCGCATCCTGCTGAAGTAAACACAATTTCAAAAAGAAACAGATATAATAATCGTATGAAAATACAATTAGCTTACTTCTTTTGCATATAATAATATTTGTATTCCCTCGTATGTTATTTGATATGTTGAAGTATATCGATATTTTACAAGTAATAAAAATAGACTAAACATAGTGTGTTCGAATCAAATGCAATGTTTTCAAACGAAAATTTTGTTTGGTTTTTAATTTCGAATGTGTTTCTTTTAGTGAAAAGCAAAACAAAAGAAACAGCCTCTTGAAGTTTTGAAATCATGGCAGTAATATACGTAAGTCTTTTTAAATTAATCAATGCTATCTTGTAAATCAACGAAAACAGTTTTTAAGTTGTTATTTGTTCGATATAAAATATGCGACTCTTACTTAATTTGATGTGTATTTTAAAGAATGGTAGATCAACATAAAAATCGTTATTTCATTTTGTTCATCTCTATATAAAGTCTGCACAATTCGTAAGTTATTGTATCGTTAATTTTTATATTCTGACACATAACTAAACTTAAAACATATATATCATCAGATCATCAACAGCATTCAAATGTACAGTCTTTATAATTCAAAATGTTGCTTTCAATAACTTAAATTGGTTGCTTTTTTGCTACATATTGATATATAACTTATAATATATAATATATAATATATCACAAGAAAGCATGTGTTTCTTCTAAAATTCTATGTTAGAATAGTTTGGAAAATTGCTCAGTTCTATCAAAATATTCTAAAGTAACACATAACTCGTTGGAAGATTAAGAAATTAATTGTTAAATTTATTAGATTCTGTTTATAATAAGTATTTAATAAATTTGATCAAATCAAAAGGGCACTGTTTCGTAATGAAATAATACACATTTTAAATGTAAAATTTAAATAGTTTCCTACATTTAACTTACTAACTAATTGAAAAAATAGTTTTTGGCAATACGTCGTTTCTGGAATCATGTCTTTCACCGGAAAAGATCGTCAGTTTCGCACGCCTTTATGACGTCATTTACCAGATTGAAGGCGCACCTGTATCCCTGCTCTATTAAAATTTTCCAGCACTTTCATAATCGTCATTTTGTAGCGTAGTATAGAAATAATTAATGTCCCGTAAGTACGTTATCTTGATTCCCGTACGACTGAGGTAGGGTGACCATCTTATTAGATTTTAATTTCCCAAATATTTTGTGCAGTATAAAATCAAACTTTTTCACCGTTTCCTCAACATGTGTTGGAAGTGACGATGCCTACATTTTTGTCACGTGGTGATGGAAGTCACATGACAGATTCAACTAAAAACCGTATCCCGGAACTGCCGTATTAAAGATTCAATGCTTGAAATAAGATCTGCATGATATAGGATAAAATCTGCCTATAAATTGATAATCACGGGTACTGAATAATTTTTATCGTATTGCATGCGACATTATCGATGATTTCGCTTTATCATATTTGTCATATAAGATAGGGCGACTGTGGTTGTGGTTTTAATGCAAGTGACATCTATTTAAAAACTAATAGCCTATAAGATTCAAATGAAAGAAAATTTTTTTTTACTTTTTACGTAAAGTAGGTAGAAATCAATAATGTATGAACCTTTGTCAATTGAAATTTCATTTTTTCGGATTTAAGGGATGTACAACTTTCTAAAACAATTTTTTAACCTGACTTTAGGGTTTATATGACTGTAAAAAAAATAATAGGTAAAGACAAAACCATATGGTGGTGGACTTCTTTATTAATACGGCCATTTGAAAGTACTAAATTCTGATGATCTTCTCATTTCCATTATTTTATTCCAATTTTTGGGCTATTATCATGAAAAAAAATCACATTTTCATACTTTAAATGAAGATGAAATGGACCTATCTGAATAAATTTAACTTAAAAAAAAAAACTAAAGGTAGATCATGTAGGTGTTAATAATATTTATATATATAAGACAGTTTTAAAAAAAATGGTACTTTTCCCAGTCAAATTTACCATGTAGTTTTGGATTTTTCTCTTTTCTTTTAACAAAAAGCATATTATTTCAAATTCTTTGTTATAAATCATTTAAAAAAACATATGTTAGAAATTTGAAAAGAAAAAAAAGATATGTGATGTATATGTTTCTGGAAAAATCATGTCTTGTACCTTCATCCATTTTCTCAACATTTATGAGACTGATTAAATTGGTAATACAATTTGAAAAATTTATTATTCAAAAACTACTCATTGTAAATACACATTTTTTTACAGAGTTAAGTTTGAATATAATATTTTTAAAATTAATTCATTATTTCCATTTATATCACATCATGCACATCTTTTGGAAATAATTCCAGAACGACATTTCAACGAGACTTAAACGTCAGAAGAATACATCCTTAAACAAAAATGTTAATCAATTGATAAATACGTTCAATAATATAAAATGTCGCTTATAGAGAGAATGGATAAACCTTCAGTACTCTGTGCGATTAGGTTCACGAGGTCACGTGAGTGTCTTCCTGATTATAAGATATGAATACCATAGCTTAGGTTATACAGATACATTTACGTTTGTAAAACCAGTTCTATGCCTAGGTCTATTTACTTTGATTTCAAGGAGGATTAAAAAAAATTAAGCTATCAACAAATGCTGGGAGCAGAGGACTTTTATATGATTGTTGCTAGACTAAATTCTTCCTCGTGTTTATAGTTTTTGATGTTTAGAAAAGGTACAATTGTGTTTCTTCGCAAAGGAAACACTTTCAGGTTAAAAAAAACAACAGGCTCTTAAGAGCTTGAATCGCTCACCTGTTTTTTTTTGCTTAAATCTTTCATCAATGATTATTTTTGCTTTTCAATATATAATAATGAGTGGTTTTAAAATGCCATTTAAATGTTCTTTGTATCTGTCATATTTTCTTCAAAGCAAATAAATGATTTTTACCCATATGTTCCATTTTAGCAATAGTGGCTATATTTCTTGACGTACAAGGAAATAAAATACAAAATTTATACTAGATTCATTTGAGATTTTATAAAGTTAGAAAACATAAACAATAATGGTTTGTTCGATTCGTCTGAAAATTTCCGGGCAGATAGATCTTAACCAATTGAACATTTAGACTTCATGTCAGATTTCCTCTAAAAGCTTTAGTTTTTTGAGATATAAGTCAAAAACTGCATTTGACCCCTATGTTCTATTTTAAGCCATGGCAGCCATTTTTGTTGATGGATCAAAACTTCATATACAATTTATAAACTAGATACCCGAAGGAACATTCAGTTTAAGTTTGAAGGTATTTGGCACAGTAGTTTCAGAGGAGAAGAATTTTGAAATAGTTTACGACGACAGACGACGACGACGGACGACATGGGACGCCAAGTGATGGGATAAGCTCACATGGGGTCCTTTTGGCCCAGGTGAGCTAAAAAATAGCATATTTATATACTTGAATTATATTTAAATTTGAACTAATAAATGTAGTTTGTTTCTATCGCTATTTTAGATGCATTTCATTAATGGCTGTATGTGCATTTAAGCATTAATGTGACCACGGTATGCTATTTTCATTTTATCGAGCCTGTAATGAAATGCACAAACACGAGACATAAAAAATTCTACATCCACTCGTCAGCCGATATGTCAAATTAAGGTCCAGTCTGTGGTTTAAGTTAAACAAGACATCGATTAACTCGACAGACCCCCATACAATTTTCTGAAAACTAAGACAAATGCTTTTTTAGGTCGTAAAAGATCTAGACTGTATCAAGTGCAAAATTTTGAAAATATTTTTGTTTGTCTTACTTTCTTATATGTCATGACGTTTGCAGTTGAATGTCTAATTGGTATCTTCCGCCTCTCTTTAACCAAAAAGTGGACTTAGATGGGGTTTTTTTTAATTAAAGTACATAAGGTATGATATAGATAACAATTTTAGAAACAATTCAATTTGTTTCAATTATCAATAAAAACGAAATTTTGAAGTGATTATTAATTTTACCTGTTTGATAATTGGAGCTTCGTTTAAGTTTGTTGTATATCAAATTGGAGTACTTGAATCAAGTCAGTGACCAAGAATTTGACAGTTTATGTTTCTTTTTAAAATTGATACAGTCTGAAGTTAAAGTTTTCCAGATATCAATATTTTTTTCTAACTTTGAGAGAATTCATTGAAGCTTGCATGATTGATAACATATGAATTTATATTAGTCAAACATGTCAACTTTGCAATTATGAGTGTTCTTTATTTTACCGTTTTGTTGCTGATAATTCAGATGAACAATCTAAGTTTAATAAAGGTTTTGCGACATCAATATATTCAAACCTGTAGAGATTATGTATAAATTTGATGGAAGATTGTAAGATCAAAAGATAACACATGAAGAAATATTTGAGAAATATTCCTTTTTTATTTTTTTTTTATTTCATTTTTTTCCGTATGTCCGTTTTTCGGAAGTTAACATAAAGCAAGGGATTATATTTATTAGACATCAGTAACTTTGTTAATAGCTTAACAGAATGTAAATTTGGACAGAAACTTCTTCCTGATCAGAAATAGCATCATTTGAATAAAAAAAATACATAATTATATACACTGACACCAGCAATTACACCCGATATTTAATCTTTTACAAATTAATATAATATCAACTAAAAATGACCAAACAAAATGGTAGTCATCGTATTGCTGAATTCATAGTTTTCTGACTTTCAGACAGTGATTGTCATTTGGTCAACTGTCTTTTATGTCAACCTAAACTTTAGTTTGTTATTTGATTTCTGATTTTTAATTGAACCCGGGTATATCCATTCGATACTATCATAAATGATAAATTGTAAATAATGTTTGAATGATATCATTTTACAGAACAATCGATGCATTGTTTATTGTCCTGTAAAATGACTGGATAAAAAAGAAGATCAAATTCATGACTGATACGTGTAATAATATTATATTATTAAAAATTTGAAAATGTTCCAATGAATTGTCTTTACACCGACTTTGTTTATCGCAAGGATCTTAAATTAGAAAACAGGCTTATGAATATGTTTTATCGAATCAATCATTAGAAAAGAGTCTACTGTAAAAATATAACAAGTATTTGTATTATTGTGATAACCACGATAAACTTCAATCTTAAAATGATGATTCAAAACGTTGCGAAATGAACACTAATTGTATCTGTTATAGTGAAATTTATCACCAAATGCATAGTAATTATCACGTTTACAAAACTTAAAATACATCTTATATAAATGTTGATATTGCAAAAAAAAAAACATGAATATTATCTATAGCGTTTGATTTGGTGCCTT